GTCTGGGCACGCGGCGGCGCCGTGCGCGGCGCCCTCGGGGCCGGCGCTGCGATGGCCGGCAGCCGGCGCGGGCCTGCGCCGGGACCGGCGCTCCTCCTCGGTGTCCAGGAAGAGCGTCGCGATGGACGCCTCCATCTCCTGTGGTTAGGTTTAAGTCGGGCGTGTCCCCCTACAGGGGGAGTTTTGGGGGAAAAAAAAGAATACTCCAAAAATGCACCCCAACTACTCAAAAATTGTCAAAAAAATCGTCCCCTGACTATTTTCTTACTATTTTTGAATAGACCCCCTGTAGAGGGACACGCCCGATTTAAGGTTAGATCGGGCATACCTCCTGCAGGCGGAGAATGGGCGAAACAAAAAAAATCCAAGAAAAATAACCAAAGCATTCGAGGAATCGTCCCCAGGCTATCTTTTGTGGACTATTTTTTGAATATTCCTCCTGTAGAGAGGGACACCCCCGACTTCATCCTGGGGCGCAGGGCGACATGCTCGTGCGATGCACTACGTAGAGACGAGGCCAGGACGAGGATATGAAAGTTCATGGGAGGACGGATCGAGAGTCTCTGAGAGCCAGCGGCTCTGGAGGATGTCGGGCGGCGCGGCCTTCGCGGAGCGTTCCGGAACGCTCCGAGAACGTGCCGGAACGCTCTGGAACCGACTTCTCCCCGCCCGAATGCGCCATGCGCACCCCTTGGAGGCGCACGTCTGGACCTGAGCGTGTGGCACAGAGAGCCTGCGGCGTGTCGTTGTCTGGGCGGCATGGCCGGGAAGCGCCCGCCACGGAGCAGCTTTGTAGTACGGCGTGGCCCCGCGAGAACGACCTCGGGCCCAGACCTGGCGGGCGCAGGCCGGGGAGGAGCGAGCATCTATCTGGAGACCTCGGAGCGCGCGCGTCGCCCCGGGGGGGGGGGGGGGCAACGCACGCCTCGTATCGGTATGCTGTGTGATGCCGATTGCTCCAGGCTCGTGCTGCTCCCATCGTGGCTCAGGACCCACGTCCCAGAACTCGTTTCGAGCTCCCCTCTCCTCTCTCTTCCTCCTTCTTCCCTCCCCTCCTCGCCCTCCTTCTGCTTCTCCGTCGGGCGCGTTCGTTCTCTGCCCCACAGTCGCGATGCGCCCCGCTTCTATGCGTCGCAACTCCGATGCGTACCACTTGTGCTTCCCATTCGAATTTCCGCAAACACGCAATCAATTTGCTGCGTTGTCCTTGCATGTCACAGAGAGTTGCCAATTGAGCACTCTTCTCGCCAACACGTCCTTCCGAATGCTAGGCTTCAGTCAGTCAGTCAGTCAGAAAAGTATCGAAACAGTGTCGAACGAATATCGCCTGCCAGGTCCCCAACACGTGAAAACCCCCAAGTTTCGGCAGTTTCCTGGTACTGGAAATTCTTTCTGGTAATCAACGCGAAAATAGGTTGGAACATCATCACTCCAGGCGCACCATCAGCTCCAGCTCCAGAATGGCGTCCTGTAGAGACCTCCCGGATGGGACCCCAGCAGCTGGGGTCGTGGGATTGCACCGCCTCACCGATGCATCGACGATGTATCGGCGGTGCATCGGCGCCGTCGGCGTGGACAAATTCTAGCTCCACAGCGCCGATGCATCGCCGATGCATCGCAGATGCATCGGCGATGCGGCGCGTTCCTCCGACCACATCTGCTCGGACCCCACCTGGGAGGCCCAACTGGTCCTGGTCCGGGGAGTTGCGGGCGTTGCTGATGTGCGGGACCGCGCCCAGCGCTCGCAGGTCCCCGAAGACCAGGGCGCAGGCCGTGACGGAGGTCCTCTGCACGTGCGAGGCGACCACGCCGTCCCTGCCCCCGTCGAAGGCCGCCATCGCGATGCGCATGCGACAGACCCAGGAAGGCCATCCGGAGAAGACCTGGGCCGCGGTGGGACCCAGACGTCCAACAAGGACTTCCACGAGGCCCAGCATGGAGGCTTTCCGCCGCGTCCGGCCTGCGAGGGCCTGCTTCGGGCCCAGGGCATCGCCAGGCTGGCCCAGAGGAGGAGCAGCCCTGCAGGAGGGCCCCGAGCTGGCAAAAATCGTCGGCCCCTCGGGGGCTCCTCGGCGGGTGAGGATGGTCGCCCCGGCCCAGACCCCTGCCCCGGGAGCCCGGATCGGCCGGTCTGGAGGGGGGGGCAGGAGGTGTCGGCGGACTCATCTGCCTCAGAGAAAGTCGGCGGCGAGCCTTCGGGGAGGTGAGATAGGGGCAGGGCGTCCAAGAAGGCGGCCAGACTTCTGAGGAGTCGTCTCTGTTTCCGGAGAAGGCTTAGAAGACTTATCAGAGAACCCAAGCGCGCAGAACCCAAGCGCGCCAAAGTCCACGAAAGCCATTATTTTCCCAGGTAGGTCCAAAAAGGCCTCAGCTGGCCTCAACATAGCACCAGGGGCTCCCAAGCCGACCGAACAGAGCTCCAGGAGGATCCCCAAGAGGGTGCCGAGAAGCCAGATTCCTTGATTTCCCATGGATTTGTCCCACGTGGTCAACGGTCTCGCCTTTTCGATCTTTAGGGTATCTGACGTGAACACAACCCGAGAGGCCACAAGAATCACTGCAAGATGGCCCAAGAGGCCCCCAAGATGGCCCAAGAGGCCCCCAAGACTGCCCAAGATCAGGAGAGCCCAGAATCGAATCGCTAAGTCGGATCGGCGATCGACATGAATCGGATCGACGGATATCGGCAGCCGAGTCGGGGAAAGTCGAATCGGCGGAAATCGGCAGGCTGGTAGGCCTCCGTTGAGAAATCGGAGCCCAGATCGGAATCCAACATCGAGTCGAAGCGGAGTCGGAAACCATTTAGATCGAATCGAATCGAACCGGAGGAGTCGAGACGAGCCCTGCCAGAGACCCCCAGTGGAGTCCCCCCGGGGAGCACGAGAGGCCGAGGTCGAAGAGGGGCCCGGGCCCCGGGCGCCCCTCCCCCACGAGAGGGCGCCCGAGGCGCCTGGCATGCCCTCCCGAAGAGCCCCACGAGGCACCCCAGGGAGCCCCCAGGGGGCCCCCCCAGGGGCGCCCAGGGGGCCCCAAGACGACACGGGGCCCCGGAGCCTCGAACCTCAGGCCTCGATCCTGGGATCCTCGATCTGACCGTAGGTCGGGCGTGTCCCCCTACAGGCGGACTGCGGACGGAGAATAGATGAAAGTCAAAAAATGCTCCACAGCGAACGAAGAATAACTGGCATCCCCGACCTGATTTTGACGGAGGGTCACTCTTGCGTGCCGCCGAAGCTCTGAATAAAGGAAGCCGTCCCCACCCCCTCTGGGGAAACCTTCGCCCCGCCAGCCGACCTCCCCCCCCCCCCGGGCGGGGATGAGTGTCGTCTCCTTCGGGCTTCGCAGCACTCATCCCCACCTTGAGGGGGTACGCTGGAAGAGCGACCTTGACCTGTCCTGGTCGGAGTCAGGATGGCCCTGAGGATGACCCGGACATCCGACGATGTGAGTGTTGTCATTGCGCGGCGGGTAGTTTGACGTCCAGGATACATGATTGATGGTCCCGAAGAGGGCCCCCGGAGGCAGAAAACTCCTAAAAGTCAAACCAACAGGAACAAAACAGAAGACCATGTTGTAACCCATGGGAACCTACCATGCCATCTCGCCGGCTCTTGCGAATCGACGCTCATCGACGCTAAATCGACGCTGAATCGGCGCCCTCTCACCGATTACCCGACGCTGGCGCGCACTTCAGGGGCGGTGTCTCAAGGACATACACGGCTCCCAGGAGTGGCTACGTACCGAGGAAGATAAGAAAAAACGCCATAAGCACAAACTTTTGGCGCTCCGCGCGGATTTCTCGGATCTGCGCTGGGCCCCCCCTCCTTGGCGCGCGGAGCGCGCCAGGGGCGGCGCCGGAGGCAGGAGAGCTCAGAATCGAATCGACAATTCGGATCGGCGATCGACATGAATCGGATCGACGGATATCGGCAGCCGAGTCGGGAAAAGTCGAATCGGCAGACATCGGCAGGTTTGTAGGCCTCAATTTAGCAATCGGGTCCCAAATCGGAATCCGAAATCGAATCGAATCGGAATCGGAATCCGTCGAAATCGAATCGAATCGAATCGGCAGCATCGAAATGAGCCCTGCGGAGGCGCCGCCAGGGGGGCCCAGCGTGGATCCACGAAATCCGCGCGGAGATCCAAAAGTTTATGTTTATGGCGTTTTCTTCAACGAAGAATGGGACCTCGCCTGACTCCAGAAGCCTTGCCGACTCTTGCGATCGACGCCCGTCGACGCTAGTCGACGCTAGTCGACGCTAAATCAACACCACACCGACGCCAACGCTAATCGACGCTCACCGAGGCTGAATCAGGGCTGTCTCATCGACTCCCAGACGCTCATCGACGCTGCTCGACGCTGCAAGAAGGAATTGAGAAGGCACACCAGGGTCCCATGAGATGCTAGCGAAGAAGCGGATGGGACCTCGCCTGACTCCAGAAGCCCTGCGCCGCGATGACGTCGTCCAGCGTGCTGCGGCGCGCCGCGCCGCCGTGGAAGTGCCGGTCGCCGCCCAGCGTCTCCAGCTGAGCCCAGGCCGGCGCGCAGCTGCCCCTCCTCCGGGGAGCCTTCTGCGGCAACCCAGGGGAGCCTCCTCCTCCTCCTCCTACTCCTGCTCCTGCTCCTCCTCCTCCTCCTCCTCCTCCTCCTCCGCCTCCTCCTCCTCCTCCTCCTCCTCCTGCTCCTCTTGCTCCTCCTGCTCCTCCTCCTCCTCCTCCTCCTCCTCCTCCTCCTCCTCCTCCTCCTCCTCCTCCTCCTCCTCCTCCTCCCATGGCATCTTCTTCTCTTCTCCTACCAGGGCACGGACGCTTGGAGAAGGCGAGGGAGGAGAAGAGGACGAGGATGCACCCGCGGCTCGGGGGCTGACAACGCGCATGCGAGCCCCACGGCCAGCTCGTCCCGAGCGGGTCAGTGCGGGCCAGCGCAGCTCTTACAGGGGAGGGAGACCAAGGAGGCGGTTTCGGGTCCGCCCCGCTAGAACGAACAGCTTCTGCGACTCGACGCTGATCGACGTTCACAGACGCTAATCGACGCTGAATCGGCGCTTTCTCGTCGATTGCTAGACGCTAGCACACGCTAACGCACTCGAAAGACGGAAGTGCGAGGACCTACAAAGCTCTCATGATTGCTGCCGAACCGAGGCTTCAGCGAAGGCGTTGACCCGTGGGTGGAGCCAGGGGGCCGAGGACTGAGCCAAAGGAAGCTAAGGACCCAGATCTACGACGACGTGACCTCCTCAGTCCCCACGTGATTTCTCGGCTTCGACGCCTCGGGCCCGCTCCCGGGCCCCGCCCCAGGGCCATCAAAAGGGATCCAGGACGAAGAACTAGCCCTGGAGAGGGGTCGGGACCTTTGGACCACTCACTGCAAGCATAGCGCTGTAGATTCGGCGTGACCAAGCGGGATCAAGCCAGACTGGGCCAGGTTACTAGCAGGATAGGCCGGAGCAAGCCAGGTTGAAAGCCTTGGGATTGGGTCGGATCGAACTAGAGTAAGCCAAGGATTAAGGCAGACTAGGTGGGATGGAGCGGGATCAGGCCAAGATGGGTCAGCTCACCAGCGGGCTCAGACCAGATTTAGCCAGATGAAGCAGAAAATTAGGCCAGATTAGGTGGGACTGCGCGGTGGTCAAGCCAGATAAGGCCGGATTGCTAGCAGGATTAGGCCGGATCGAGCAGGATTAAAGCAAAGAGTAGGACACACGAGGCGGGATTGAGCGGGATGAAACCAAATTGGGCCAGACTGAAAGCCTGACCCAGCCGGATTAGGCCAGACTAGGACCGTGGAACTACCAGGGGCGACTCTTGATTCAACCCTGCCAGGGGGTCGGGAGCCCAAAAAGGACGAGCCGGGCCACGTACATGAATTTGCCGCCAGATCGCGCGGCCGCCCTCACGTCGCGAAATCGAATGCGCTCTCCTCAAACGCATGCGAATCCATGTAATCACGCGCGCGTCTGTGTTTCGCTCCTGACTCCTGGCGCCGCCACCACTCCCGGCGTCGTCCTCGTCGAGCAACAGGGCCGTCCAGATGAGGGGCAGGAAATTCGGGGGGCGTCGGTCTGAGAACGACGCCAACTTTCACTCCACGCCTCCAGGGCGGCGCCCTCTGGCGTGCTCCACGCACCAGGACAGGTACAGTCAACCCGTAGAATATGGACGCGCGAGAAGGATGCAAGGGCCTCTGGAAGACATGTCAGCATTTTGCGAGCGGGGCGCGGCCAGCGGAAGCGGCCCAGGATGGGCCGAAGGGGAAGGATGCAAGGGTAGCCTTGCAGAGTGGCTCATCCTTACTATGCGGGCTGACTGTAGGCCCAGCGCCGACTCAAGACATCCGGGCAGACCTCCAGAAGCGCACGCCTACTCCAGATTTCGCAACAAAAAGGGGGCGGGTCTGATTTGAGACGGCTCTGATCTGGGCTGTCCTGGAGGGTTCCCCGGGGGTCTGGACAAGAGACCGCACTTACCTGGCTGGTCCGGGGGAGTCTAAAGGTGCTCGTCTGGGAGGTTTGTGACCCCTCCCCTGTTATTTTGAAATCTGGAGTAGTAAGCCGATTCCCTCCTCGGAGGAGGAAGGAGGAGGAGGAGGAGGAGGAGGAGGAGGAGGAGGAGGGAGGAGGAGTGAGGAGGAGGAGGAGGAGGAAGAGGAGAGGAGGGGGAGGAGGAGGAGGGGAGGAGGAGGAGGAGGAGGAGGAGGAGGGAGGAGGGAGGAAGGAGGAGGAGGAGGAGGAGGAGGGAGGAGGAGGAGGAGGAGGAGGAGGAGGCAGACTGGCGACGAACACGACCAGCGCTTCTCAGCAAATCCGAGCTGCAGCACAACCAGCAAGTGGTACGAGACCAACAGCAGGCG